GACCCTTGTTTTGATTATCTTTGAATTTTAATTGGGTTTCAAATAAGGAGTCGACTGTCTTACTTGACGCAGTATAATTTTTGAAACTAACATCAGTTTTTCCACACTTAATTTTCAAGGCGTCAAGTTCTTCGGTTACAGCATCAAGTTGTCTCTTAATATAGTCATAATTTTCACACTTGTTGCTGAATTCTTCCTGAAGCTTCCTAAAGTCCTTTATTTTTGTTTCTAACTGGGCCTTTAGGGGTTTCTGTCCTTTCCTGAGTTGATAACCTCATATCTCAGGTCCTCAACTTCTCTTTTTAATAAATCATTATGTTCACGAAGAAGTTTAATCGTGGCTTCACATGATTGAGAACATGAAACTTCACATGATTGAGAACAAGAAACTTCATTGACCGGAAGGTTTGTGGAACTCATTGTTTTTCGACAATTCAAAGCGTCAAGTTCTTCAATTACAGCAGCAAGACTAAGACGATTGAGATCTTTTGTCTTCTTGATGTCAGCCACGTTCATATCCCATGATTTCGGAAGTGCATTCAATAGCTTTTTGTTTATCTCAGATTTGGTCAAGAAGATCCCAGCTATATTCATCTCAGTAGTGAGTGTGGTAAAACGCTGCAACTGAGCTTCCAGGGTTTCTCCAGGGATATAATCGAACATGTTGAAATTTTGCCTTAACATCTCCTGACGACTCTCTTTCATGTCTTCAATTCCCTCGTAAACTTCAAAAACTATTAAAAGCACAACTAGAACTTAAAAGTCAAACTTAAATTTAAAAATGCTCTTTGACTATAAACCTCAAAAGTCAACCTTAAAAGTCAAATTTAAAAAGTCAAACTTGAAAAGTCAAACTTAAAAGTCAAACCGAAAAGCTAAATTTGAAAATTTAAAAGTCAAACAAGAAGGTCAAAGTTTAAAGTCAAAGGTCAAACTTCAAAGTCAAAGTCAAAACTTTAAGTAAAAAGTCAAAAATAAAAGTCAAAATTTAAAAACTAAAATTTTTGGTTGAAATTGGAATTTAAAATGAAAAGAAATCGAATTTTTGGGCTGATTTTGTCAAATTGCGAAACTTGGATGCGAAAAGGAGTGTTTAAGAATTAAAAATGGGAGGAATGAACAAAGGTGCAGCTTGAAAGAGTTGGTAAGATGCGTGACTTGATGAACTAGAGGTTCCGGGTTCGATTCCCGGCATCCTCACTTTCGCGTCCCCCCTTTTTTTAATAAAGGCGCTGTTCGGCTTGCTGTTGCTGAGCCGGCTTCCCTAGCCGCGATCCGAGCCGAACCGAGCCGTTCTCTAAGCCGCAAACCGAGCCGAGGCGCAGACGATCCGAGCCGTAAACCGCCGAGCCGCAACTGCCGACCGTAAACTCCGAGCCGCAAGCCGCCGACCGCAAACTCCGACGACCGTAAACACGTTTACGACCGTAAACTCCGGAAAACCCTAGCCGCAGCCGCCGCCGACCGTAAACACTTCGGAAATCGCTGTTCTTGACGAAAAACAGCGTTTTGCCCTTTTTGCTCCAAAACTCGATCAAAAAACTCGTTTTTAGGAAAAACGCGAAGAAGAAACCCCCCTTATTTTGCCAAGATCTATCCAAAAACGCAGGAATTTTTCAAAAATAAGATCAAATCGGCTCCAGATCTGACAAAGATGAGTGATACAAACCAAGCTCTGATACCAATTGTAAGTCCCTAATCTGCCTGTGTATCAATCCGATCTGTTTGATGGTGCGGAATCCCAATCAAACGGATGATGTCAGATCAAATAGAAGAGAAGGAGAAGAAGAATAATATGAATCTTGTATATATTGATATGAATGAAGATCCGGATACAAGATTCACACACACTAACACACACTCTCTTCTCTCTCTCTTTCTCTCTCTAGAACACCTTCAAATGCACACACTTAAGCTCCTCTAGTGTTCATCCATCTATTCCTCACACCCCTCACCTCTATATATACTGGACTGGGCCGGCCTTGGGTTTACGGCCGTAAACTCTGTTTACGGTCGTAAACTCACAACACATATACGATATTACATAAAATTACAATCAACTAGAAAAGCAAAGTATAAACCATATTTTTGACCCAACAGATTTACTAGTCCCGATCTGTTAAAAATAATAATATAAAAATAAAGTCAAAATTTTCCGACGAAGTCTAAACGAAAGTTGTAGAGCATAATTTTCTCTATGCGTGCATATAAAGAACGTCAAAAACGGAGTCTGTATGAGAAAGTTATGGATTTTACAAGATTTGGCACATTCTTCGAGAAATTTCGCATGAATAGTAATTGCCACGTCACCCTCGCTCGGAGCTAGCCACGTGTCCGAAGCTGCTGCGTGGCATGCCCGAGGAGCGACGCGTGTCGCACAGGTGTCCGAAGAAAGCCACGTGATCCGCGCATGAAACCCATGTGATCCGACCCGCGTGTAGGCTTCTGATTCGACCGAAGAGGAGGCCCAATCCGAAGCGAGCAGGTGTCCGAACCGAACCTCACCCTGCTGACAGCTGGTCCGAGCCTCGCATGCGAGCCTCTCGCTTTCCAGCCTCGGATCCGAAGCTCCGGATCTCCTCCTCTATAAATACCAACCTTGCGAGACTTCCCGACTAATTTTGGAAATTTCACACTTTTTCACCCTTTTTCAATATTTTTACTATCCCGACATCCCCCGAAGCCCCGGTACTTATTACAAAGCCTGAAACGCGCCCCGAGATTCCCGAGAAGCCCGAAAAATTTATCTTTTCGGTTTCGAAGCTCTACCTTCGCAAGACCCGGTTTTCAAGAAAACTCCCGGTTTTCAACGACGAAAGTCATATTTAGAGCCGAAATGCTGCCCAAATTATTATTTTGACCCCCGGTTAATTCAAGGTGAGTTTAATATGTATAAGCAATTGTATGTTATGTGTTATATGTGCTATGTGCGTTTCCATGTTATCATCTCGAGTTGTTGTATCCGCTATTTTTATAGCAAGGCTGTACCTCTGACTTGAAGTGTATGACATATGCATCACTTGGGTATTGGTATGAACCGTTGACCATGAAGTGTATGACATAGGCATCACTTTGGCTTCGGTAGAATGTTATTCCTGAGTATTTTCCCGTGTTATTTTTATTTCTGCTATTTATGATAGCAAAGCTATACCTTTGACCATGTGATCAGTTTACGAACTCAGATTCACAGTGGCACTGGTATGTAGCCTCTGGCCAGGTAGATCATGTCCCCCAGTAAGTGAATGACTCTATTATATGGCATTAGCATATGGTTAGACAGGGCATGAAAACCTGAAATCTACATTAATGTTAATCAAAAAATGTTTGTCTTCAGTGCCATTTGGGCCGAAGCGTTATTGATGTTTATCAAGTATGGAAATTGTTATGTCTAAATGATGTTATATATTTAAATCAAATCAATGATTGTTAGGGAAAGCTTATCACATTATGTCTTTGTTGTTCCTTGCTTCTAATTGCTTCTGCCATATTGGTATATATATGGCATAACGTTATATTGTATCTATTATTGAACTCACTAAGCGTTATCGCTTACCCCTCCCAATGTTTTAACATAATGCAGGCAATAAGCACCCAGTATAGTTGGAAGACTTAGAATAGTTTGTAATAATACCTTTGTACTTCAGTTCATGTATGTATAAAATTACAATATCCTGGGTAGTCATGTAAAATCTTAAAACATAGTCGGTTTGTATCCAATATTTTGTAATGACTTTATCAATGTAAAAATATTGTTTTATGAATATGCATGTAGCATGTTTTGGAGTAACTATATTGTCAAGTATGAAAGTTTGGGTCTTTCAGAAATATGAAAGTATAGAAAGGGGTTTCTTTCATGTGGTTACCTTTGTTTTATGAGAAATAAATGGATTAACACTTTATTAATCCAAAAACAAAAAATTTTATATCATGATTTTCGGGACGTTACACTTTCAGCTCTCACAAAAATCTAGCAATTTACAATGATGGTGGTATGAGCCTATTTATACTTAGGGGATCAAACCTAAAACCCTAATGGGCCAAGCCTATTGGCCCATGAATGGTGACAACCAATCATATTCCGCAATGCAACGTCTTCTGGAACATTCTTCCATCTTGAGCATCATAGAGGACTTCATAGCATACCTGACTCATTAAGGACCGAGATGCTCCATCTTGCGCCATCATGACACAACATGAATATGGATGGCGCAAGAGGCATCAAGTGTGTCACAAGAGCATCTAGGTTGGAGCAACATCACCATATTGGCGCAATAATAACATGCATGACGTAACAAGGCCGTGCTTGGCGCAACAACATACTCCATGGCGCAATAGGAGTACCCCATGACGCAAGAGGGATACCCCATAGTGCAAGAGGGAGTATCTTGGCGCTTCCAAAAAAAAAGGAGTGCCCTTGGCGCAACACCATCCTTCTTGGCCAAAGTCTTCAGCAGATGGCGCAACAAGGTCCCCTTGTTGCTCCATATCACTCCTAAGTGCTCCAAACCTCTTCCAGGTGCTCCAAACCCCCTTCTGTACGATCCATTCCTTTGACACTTGATCCATTCCTTTGTCAGACAATCCATTTCTTTCTCAGATGATCCGTTCATTTGTCACGTGCTCCATTGTGATCTAAGTGTTCCATGTTGGACAAGACTTCATACCCCAACACAGAGCTCACCACCAATAATGAAATGGATCTTCAATAAGACCATGAAAACATATTCAATTGACACGATACTTAAAACATGGTGGATTCTGAGTTCTTAATCTCTTTAGCTTTATTATGCCATGGTTGTGAGTTTGGAATGGTTAGAGCCTTTGAGTTCTTCTAAAAACATATTACATCAAAACTGAATCCCCAATTCCAAAATCATAATTCAGAACATTAGGGTTGAACACCTACAACAATCGAAGATGACGATGTCTGCTGTGAGGAGGCAGGCTTACCGACATCGACTGTGGCGCCAGGGGACTCACTGACGTTGGCTGTGGGCGAAATGGAAGAAGACGATGTGAACCAAAGGTAGATCGCACACAATGACACACAGTGGGGTGGGGTCGTTCTATTTTCTTTTAATTTTACTTTTAATTTTAATTTTGACTTGGTATAAACTTTTAACCTAAATAATAAATATTTCTAAAACTCACAAAAAAACAACTATGCCCTAAAAAACACAGAAGCCTTCTTTTCTTTCCGATCGACGCCCAAATCTTCTCCCGCAAAACTCACAAAAAAACAACTATGCCCTAAAAAACACAGAAGCCTTCTTTTCTTTCCGATCGACGCCCAAATCTTCTCCCGCCTAACCCCTTTCTACTCCATCTCCAAGCGTCTGCCTCTCTCTAATCTGCAACGCCGCCGCCGGCAGCTTCCCCTCCACCTCTGGCAGCTTCACCAGCCCCGCCTCCGCCAGCTTCTGCAGGTAAGGGTTTTCTTTTACTTTTCATCTGGAAACCGAGTTGAAGATGTTTTTTTCCCCTGAAAATCGACTATCAGACATGTAGTGTTTGGTATAAAAGAAATTTTAGCTCACATTTCAGAAAACATCCTCGTCTTCAACCTCCTTAAACCCTTCCTTCGCTTCCCCGTTGCAAGTTTAACATCGCCATCGCCATTCCCATGGCGGCCTTTGAACGCCTCCTCTCTCAAGCTCGCCGCCACTGCTTTTCATCTGCTATGATTGGAGGTTGGTCATCGACAAAGTTTTCATCTCCAGGGCTTCGCAGATCCCTCTGTTCATCTTCGTCGTCGTTACAACCAGACACAAATCCCTCGCCAAATGAAAACAATCGGAACAGACCTCAACCTTTCTCTGTTCAGCCGGTCTCTTACCCCATCAAACCCAAAGACCCATCTGTACTCCAAGAACCCACGAGTCATGAACGATCCGACGCGACTATGCATAACCCGCAACCACAGGGCAACGTGGAGGCTAGAGGTTGGAGCCGCGAAGATGTTCGATTTGTGAAGGATTTGAACTCATTTACCTGCCGTTTCATACCCTAAAAGGGTGGCGCCATTGCCGGAAGATAAAATGCAGGATGATGCCGGTGAAGTGGAGAGGACGAATAAGGAAATGGAGGCAGAGAGGATGAAGATCGAGTCGGATAATCGTGGGGTAATTAGGAGGGTTTTTAGGGTTGAAGAACAAAAAGTCCCGTTCCCTAGTTTGATCAAGGTGGATCAATCACAGAACACGAAAGGGCAAAAGGTTGTTCATGATCTTAAGGAGGCTGTACAGCTAGTAAAGGTGTGTATTGCTAAAAGTTACAACTGAAATGGAACTTAAATTTCATATTATTATGACAATCATAAAGGGGTTTTATTTTAGTTTGTGGTTGAAAATAAGGAATAAATGAAATGAGTAAGTATTTGCATTTGGAATGGAATGATGTAAGTTGTTGTTTGTAATTCAGGCTAATGCGAAGCACAATTTTGATGAGACCTTGGAAGCCCATGTAAAATTAGCTGTCGATCTGCGGCGTACAGACCTGGTTTGTATATTAATATTATTTAAAAATTATTATAATTTGTTGGCTCAGGCTCATTTTATGTTATTGTTTGTAAGTGCAGAAGCTTACGGGGTCATTGTCTCTTCCTCATGGCAGTGGAAAGGTAGCATAGTAT